TTACGGTTTTAGCATCATTGAATATCATAAGTATGATATTGTGTTTACTAAATCTTTTATGTTTATCAAAAATAACATTAGTAATAATAATACACGTAATAGCTATGTGTTATAGAAAAAAAAAGAAATGGCTTAGTAATGCTATTAACAAATGAGGTATCGAAGTAAATTAGTAAATTTTCGTGAAAAACTTATAATATACGTTTCAAATATAAAACATTTTCAAACACAAATAATACGTTTCCGTACACAAATAAATGTATAGTTAAGCCACCACATAGAGCAATTTGTGTTATCGGGGTGTATCTACTTTGTACGTAAATAACACAATATACAATACGCTCCATACAGTATTACCATTGGTTATATAATAGTCTATTATAAAATCAATGGTATTACTATTATGAATATTATGATTTATATGATTCTATTGTAGTTAAATACTTTGTTCGTTCCATATTTGGTACGGGAGCATTATGCGAACTTAATTCCATAATCAGTGTAAACCCTGTTTTATGAAAACACCTACTACGGTATTACAAAATGAACAAATTTAGATCCCAGCGTAAAATACATATAGCTGGCGTATGTATTTTACTATACTAAAATTATAAAATAAATCATAAATCTCCAAACCATTTCTATGAAAATCACATCGTGTTGGTTATTATAATGCACTGTTTTCCGATTACATATATAATATTATATAATAAAATATCAATGAATTGTTTGAAAAAATAAAATGAAAATACTTAAAAAGAGTGTTCAATCAATGTGACGATTAATGCTACCTAGCTATTTATTTACTTTTTCGTTTTGGAATAAAATAGTTTTCAGTTACAAAAATAATTAATGGTTTTAACGGATCGCAATGTACAAATAAAATTGAAATCTAAGTTTAATAAATATAAGTTAAAGAGGGGATTACATAAATGGCTAATAATAGGTTATTATATTCTGATAGCTGGAAATGTTAGAGTTACGAAAAATATATAAAAAAAATGTTTTCTTCCAAAGATTGGAAGTTCTTTGATAAGGCACTGTAAATTATTGTTTCTATAACAAACAACTAACATCATCCACCATAATTTTAAATGAGAGACAATTTTCTTTTGTTTTTTTCGTGTTAAGAAATGTCAGATACTGAGGCTTGACTTTAAAAATTATTTTTATGCTCAGTTACGTAATAGACATGAAGATAAGTATGAAGATATTGCACTCTAAATCGCTAAGTACTCAGATGGGCACAATTAATAAAATAAATCTAGGATATAGATTACCTAATAGTGATCGAAGTAGTGGCTAACCAGAATTATTCGACAATCAATTTGTTATGCCAATTGTCAATTTGGTGCAACGAGGATAATTTTTTATTTGATAAATAGTCAGTCATTTCGACGTTGAAATTCGATCAATCACAAACAATCACAATTTCAATATTTTAAACAGTTCGAAAAATAAAAGTTCAATGTAGAAAAAAATGTACCTCTTTTTAATTGAATAAACTCGTACCTACGTTAATATAATTTTATATTTCAATAATGTATACTACATCAGGGGTGGATTCAGACCAAGATAACGGGGGGGGGGGGGATTTTAAACGGACACACATGATATAGATATTTATATAAATAAAATTAAAAATATTAATTTTGATATAGGTTATTTATTTAAATAAAAAAAGTCTTAAAAAAAAATTATATAGTAATAATATCATAATAATAATTTTTTTTAGTTATACGAATATGTGTCATAACAATAGAGTTTATAATTACAAATTTGTTAATTATGGAGGTACCGAACGATTTTTACGTTGGTCGTTATCAGTTATTACATTTCGAAAACACAAAACTTGGTTACGAATATTTAACATCATGATAATAGTATATAACTGCGATATCAGTATATCACCAAATAATAAATATAAATGATAACATAGTACCAGCATAAGTTTGGTATAAAAAAAATAGTTTAAGATTTCCCTAATTACCCTTGAAGTTATTACGTCAAAAACTAAAGTCTGCTGCGGTGAATGGGGGGGGGGATCTCCCCATTTGCCCCCCTTTGAATCCGCCCCTGTACTACATAATATATACTACATATTTTAGAAATTTTAATTGTCTGAATATTTTAAAATAAAGCTGCTTATAAGAATTTTAGTTTTATAAATATAACTATCAGTATTTATAATAGCATAATAGTTATAATTTATAACTACTATACTATTATATTTAATTTTATTATGTTGGCATTCATCATCGATAAGTTATTAATTTTTAATTTAATACTAAACATGGTGATATATAACGTGAAAATTAAATCTAATTTATATATTAATGTGATACTATAAATAAATTATGATTTATGTATTAAGTTTAAATCTCTAGTACCTATCTATATTTATAAGTTATAACCATTTGATATAAAAATAGTAACTCGATGTCGTTATATTTTGCTGCAAGTCACTATGTTGAAATGTTTATTATCTTGTAGTGTCACCGGTAACTTTTTCATCTCGATCAATAAAATACTATATTATTCAGCAACTTTTTTTCGAATATTTTTCTCAGTTTACTTGGCCTTATGAATTGTGTAAATGTCTCTTAAGAACTAACAATTATATATAATACATAATTCATAAATACACTCTCACTTCTGTACACACACAACGTTCCGGTCGAAATCACCGTTGTTTTTGTTGAATAAATACTTCTAGGTGATATAACCACAATATCATTATGCATACTTACACGAAACACCTATATTACATTAGATACATCAGGTAGTAATGATAAGATTATCACGTGCTACTGCGGCGTCTGGATAATGTACGCGTGTTATGACGATTATTTATGTTAACTGGAGAGAAAGAGCAAATCTCTGCGGACGCGATCCTTAAAAGCATTGTGAAGTTTCAGAGTTAAAAGGACAAAAGCCCAAAACCATAACTGTGTGTTAAGAAAAGTCTAACAAATGTGCGGTCTGTCTTTGTAAACGGCGAGACGCACATCGTGTACACACTCGTCGTAGACATTTGAAGTATTTCCAACTGCTATAATATTATATGTTACGTATATTTATATATTACATGTGAGCGTATGTAGTAAAAGCAATATAATATGTGTGCTATAACGATTTACTGGACGGGTATTTTAGAACATTTCACCGCAAATACTTTTAGAAATTGTTTCGATTTTTATGCTATTTCATACAATGCTTTGTGTGTGTGTGTGTATGTGAGTATGAGAGAGAAAGAGAGAGAATTTCAAAACGAAAAAAATATAATAATAAGCGTCCAAACTACGATAGACCTTTTCATCTGTATAGGTAAAAATGACCGCGGTTAATTATATATTATGCATACATATATTATGTATACTCGAACGAAACTCGCGTTTAACCTTTGCACTCGATGCACCAGTAACTCAAAACCACCCAAAACATCTGATGAAAACAAAAATAAATTATTGTAAAAGTTACTGAAATTTAAATAGAGCATTATTCAACAGAACAATCTATGGATCCAATATTTAAAACCTTTGGATAAGCCAGACATAGTTCATAATATAAATATATTTTTTCAATGCCAATCACGCATCGATTATATAGAAAACATTGTATACAGATTAAAATATTATAAACATTTTATTATTCAATTATGATTTTATTATTATTATTGATACGAACATGAGGTCACACTATAAGTGTTTATGGTATATGAACTTTGATATGAATACTTTATGATGTATAACCTTCATTTCATAAAAATGTCTAGTTGATTTATTATTTAAACGAATTAGCAATTTTAATTTGTGTTTTATGGTATTCCTCTTTCGCATTTAAAACAACATTAAACAAAACAAAAAAAGTTGCAATAGGTTGTTTAGTAAATTTCCTATTTTTGTAATAATAATATGTATGTATATTTAGAATTATAGAAGTTACAAGTGATTCTTTGAAACGTCTATAGTTACATATCTCATAAAAGTATATTAGAATGATTTTTTATGACAATATTTGAAAGCAAAACTATCAAAATTTCAGATCGTTATACACAATATCTACGTATATCCTTTATAAGTTATAACATAATCAGTTTATATATAGTATGAAAGCTAAGAAGTTTTTTTATTTCGAATTTATTTCCAGGTTGTAAATTTAATATTGTGATCTTCAATGGATAATCATTTAATTAAAAAACAAATTTTAATTTCGTTTATTTTTATTGTGTAAAGAGAACGGTGGAAGTGCTTGTGGTTTTTCACGGGTTATTTTTCTAGTCATAAAACGAATTTTTAAATAAAACGGATTACCAAAAATTACGGATTTCCTTATTCACACAAAATCCAAAATCGTAAATGAAGGGGCTCATTTTTCCGCGTGCAAGTGTTTCTGATAGAATAAGATTCCACGAGAAAAACATCGCTTTACTCAAATTATGAAATCGTTTCTTCTTCTAGTTTACAAGTTTTTATGTCAACAGTTTTATCAACGCTTAGTTCAGCCTTTCATTTATGTTTATTCCTATCTCGATGTACACTGCGTGTAACTGTTTAGTGGGAGATACACTTCCAATACCGGCCGAAAAATATAGGACCACGGCGGTTAATGTGACGGTTAATTTATGCATTATAATTGTACTATATGTGTGTGGTAAACACGGTCCAATAGTTTAACGTTTCGAATAATCGATATCGGATCGCTATTATCAAACGTAATCGTTCTATAATCTACGTGAGTCGTGGACCGGTAAAGTTCATCAATTCATACGGCACAAAACATTACAAGACATAATATGAGTTTAGAATCTAAACTTTTGATAACCTATATGGGCCTACAAAATCTTCGGTCGATAACCGTGACCTACCGTGTCTTATCCGTCGTCCAGCAACCGTTACCGCCACCGCCGCTTCGAGTTATTTTGGCACGCGTTGCATAACGTGCTGCGATAACAATACATTAATTGATTATTTAAAAAACAATTTTTTCATCATATTTCAATGTCGAATCGCGAAAAAGATATCAGTGCTCTATCGAACGTTTACGCGACGACGACGTGTGCGCGAGTGCAATCCTCTTACCGGACCGGTAACGGTAACCAATTACACGATTGCTGTCCGTACACGGCGGATTTTCTCGGCATTTCCGATCCCGCATTAAAACGCTTGCGTACCGATATCGTCGAGTCAACGGCCGGTCGAACGGTTTATACCTTATTTAAACGGTAAGTTACTTACTCAAAATAATATAGTGCACCCGGATCCACGTCGTGTCGGCATTGGCAGTGTTCACGTGCACGCGCGTAGATGTGCACCGTTCGCGCTCGATAGTTCTGTAAACACGCGTTAAAAATTCATTTTTCGGCGTATTCGTTACAGTGCCGTACGATAAATGTACGTATAAGGCGCAGAGAAACGTAGCGCCGCAACCGTGGTACTTCGGTCCTGATACGAGGACGGTACGCGAAACAATCCAGTCTACCGCGGATACCGATGATATGTGACCAGGTACGATGATCGTATATCGCTGTGCTGTTGCATTTTTGGTTTTATTCATTTAACACTATTGATCGTGGTACGCGAGTTGTGCTATGCGCCCGCCGTCTGATAGGTCGATTTCTCGTTTATAATACTTTGTATTTCTTCCGAGCTGGCATTTCTATAGAGCACATTCTGCATTTCACAAGTACATGATATACATTCGATCGATTTTTTTTCTTCTTTAAATACTTCACTAGTTGGAACCGTTTCGTATTACCTTGTCATATTGAATGTAGTATATATTTAATATTTAATATGTATCGAGTTGTTGGTATAGTAGATTAAAGTCTACACATAGATGTGCGCAGACTTTATCCGCAGGGATGTCTCACATAAGAAATGTCTGGACTAAAAATTCTAGTAATAAATAATAATTATAATATTAAATATAATAATAAAAGGTACTGATAGAAAAATGTAATTATAACTTAGACACTTTATACTTAAAAAATGTCCCTTAACCAAAACATAAAGATATGTTTAAATAACTATTTATAACTCCATCCTTTTGTCTATGGGAGTAAGACTTTTGAAAGTACCAATTATATCGTCAATCCATTTTGTTATCATTAACTCTAATAGATAATCTGTAGGGATAGCTGTGTGCACAGAATTCTGTGATTATATTTGTTCACAATTATTAATAATTGTTATCACGATAACTCTAATGGACTAAATATAATAACTTTTTCAACGTGATTCCAAATTTTTTCATTGATATTAAATAGATATCATATAATAAAGTATGAAAATCAAATTTACATTTTAACTATACCAATATTTATTACGTTTATTATAAAAAATAAGTAACGGTCTGCAGGGGAGATGTAACGTTGGATGCCCCCCCCCCCGTGCACATGTTTATGAGTATGCATAATAATACATTACATTACACCATCTCAAACAAAGAGGTGGAAAATCTCCAACGAATAATGTATATTATATTTATACAGTACCGAAATTTATTAATTTAGAACCGAAATAGTCATATGACCCCAGGCAGCTATTTGACAGAAGGGTGAAACTAAAATCGCTAAACAGACGCCATAGATATACATTATAGCCATCGTTAAAGACTTATATCAATATAAAACAACTGGCCGGGTATATGATTTTCTTTTCGCCCCTTTTTCAAATACGCCGATCCCTTATCCTGTTCATAGCTGGGGTAGTAAGTGTAAGATAGTAAAAACAATAGTCTCTTGTCTCAAAGTTGACCGTTGTTCGTATATACTATAAAAGTATTTCATTATAACATAATATATGGTACATGGCAATGTTTTCCAATACGAAATACAATGGAGATAATATGATGTTGCACATTGTATCGTCAATATTATTTATTATTTTTAACGCGATGTAAAAATCACAACTTTCACCTTATATTCGAGTTGCTGTTAGAACGTAGGAAAAAAATAACATTAAACATCGCGAACGATAAACCTTATCTTAACAGATGTGTGTTGTGTGATTTTTTCATAGTATACGCAAATAGTATTTCACTATTACGTACTCAATGGTCCACACATTAACAGAATAAATATTATGTCATAATGTATTCCTACACGATCTCATTGAGCTGTATGAAGCAAACCAAAAGTCCGAAATGTGGTCCAACCAGTTAAACAAAAAAATATATTTTAACTAATTTATACTTTCGTATATTTGAAAAATACGAACTACTAACATCCTAATTTTATATTATGAAGAAAAAAAACATGTCATATTTTTAACCACGCATAGAACTACCTATATAATTAGTATATTAATATATCAATATTAAAGTGACTATAACCGACACGATAAACTGTTCATTACAGTAATATGATTACCACCGAGAAATATAAAATTAAACCCATGTTTATAGTTTACACATTTAAAAATAGAAAAATAAAAAATTTTGTGTTGAAAATAGTTGAAGACCCCTTTGATTCGAATACAGCATGAGAAATCATGATAAGTAATAATCAGAGGTCATACTCGTAACTTGTATCATTTACAGTTTTGTTTTTTTTTTTTTTTTTGAGAGAGTTCCTAGAAATATCTATGTGAGCAATAAATTTGTTTTAGATAACTGAGAAGCTTAAGAAAAAATGTTATGCTGCATTTTTTTGCATATTTCAATGTATAAAAGCTATTTTGCTTTTTTAAATCTTTTTCAGTTCTGTAGCATTTAAAACACTTTTTTTTTTAATAATAATAAGTAATTATAGTAGTATTAATTATTTATATTTATAATTAACTTATTTTAATCAATTAATTTTTCTTCTTTTGGTTTAAATTATATACTTATTTGTATCATTTAGCGACGCGATTAGTATTTTAATAATAAGAGACATATTTTTTTACATGATATTTTTTTCGTATATTTTTGTATTTTTAGTGCATATTTAAGCACTTATATGAATATTTTTATGAGCATATTATAGCACTTATAAATACCATGTTTAAAATTATAAGTTATGAGCCTTGGTAATAACACATGTTATCAATGATAATCAATAAATAGTCACTAACAATTTGTAAATCATTTATAAATTTATGTATATGTATGTTGTTTTTTATTTGTATTGATTGTTATAAGGTTTATTAACGCTGCAGCGTTGTTTAATCGGTTTCTACCTAAAAGCTTAACAAAATTACATTGATTTATTTTTATGGGCGTAACAACGACCCGGATCAACTAGGTCGTTCATAGTCTAATACTTTGGTTAAAATATTTATTCAAATACCGCATGAAAATAACTGTAAAATTTTGAATTTACCATTTTCAATACTTATTGGATTCAGGTTAGAACCATTGCACGGAGCTAAAATAATTTTTGCGTAGCAGCAAAAATGTTTGTTTTACATTGAATCTTTTACTAATCTCTTTATTTACTCAACAGCAAAGGACAGTAAAATTAAAGTATTGCAATTTTTTTAAATGTATGCCATTATTTTGCAAGTTATTTGTAAGTATTTGCGAGCCAATTTTTAGAATTTGCAAGTCCAAACGTTCACCGTGAAACCAAAGAATTAAAATTTGCGTCAACTTCACGTAGCCCACTTATTTTGACCAAGAACTATTCGTTCGCGCTAGAAAAAACAAATTTTCAGTGTTCGTACCAACAACCAGAAACCATAAAAAATAAATACCTATACTTAAAGGTTTACAAAAAGAAAGAAAATAAAACGTTCGAGTTTTCACACTACTCTACAGTGTATTCTCGAAGAAGAGATCCTAGAAATAAATATATCTAAACATTAGAAAACGTTTCGTTTCGGTTTACCTTGTACATCCGTGCAAGTTTATTTATTACGCGTGTAGGTACGACACACGCACGAACACGCACAACAAAAAACGAATCCGTATGTATTATGCATTTTCCATATCATACTTGAGTGTATATAAACGTGGATGTATGCAAAATAAACAGGAGCGTCCATTGTCGTTCCCGGCCGGTGCCCGCTCCGCCGCACGCGACTGTGTCCGCTCCCGAAACGGTCTGTGCGTGGTAGGGGATGTTTGTCGGTACGCGGGTAGTAGATTTTCCGTCCGCGGACCGAACGTGATGCTACGTCTGCGCTCGCCTCGGGACGCGCTTACATCGCGTACACATGGTACGTATGCACATCTGTATTATACGGGATCTAATTACGATTGTTTGCTTTTCGGCCCGTGCGATCCCGCGCGCGGCAATCGGACGACTCTACCAGCCGCGATTCCCGAGGGACCGGCCCGCGTTTTCTGCGGGTCCGACCTTCCACCCGCCGTTCCTTGGGCGTACGCACGTCCCGCGTTCCGGGAGAGCATCATGCCTTAGTCCTCTTCAAGCCAACGTTTTTCACCGCACTTCGCTACGCACCGCGTCACGTCATTGTAATACTTCGTTTTGTAAAACCCGCAGCGACGTGTAACCTAACCTTACCGTTGGGGAGCATTCAAGTATTACGTCAGCAAACCAGATGCGGTTCGTGGGAGGAGGGATCGAGTAATCTGACAAGGTCTTACATGGTGAAGGGGGACCAAATTCAAAATCAGAATTCGAATTAATATAAAATCGTAAGTCGACGGATTGCCGATAACATACACGCTATAAGAGTTACGCCACAAGGTCCGTGGATTTTCGAAGAACAAGGAAAAATCTTCTCCTATCACTTATCCGCCATTATGGTGGCGCCACTTCAGTGGCATATTGAAGTCATTTTTGGAAAAATAAGAAGATGAATTTTTGGTTTATATTATAGAAATAAAATATAAATATTTATTAATGAATCGAGAATTTTATTTTGATTAAGTAGTCACTCTTTGGCATACGCTGATTTAGGGAGGAGGGGTCAAAAATGCTAAAAAAAAATGTGCTGACGTAATATTTGAATCCTCCCATGACCAGTGAGGTGAATGGAAGGGAGATGAAGAGAATCGTACATTACGATAAATCCTTGCCAAAAATAATGTGAGATAAATATACAAACAGAATAAAAAGCAGTATTGACAAATAATCATTATGTGAGTATAGGTACACTGCAATATTTAATAATCGATGATAATGGATAGTTTTAAAACTATTCGATTCATAGTCAAATCTTACACATTTGACTCAAGGTTACATGTATAAACATCTATAAACATATACAATTTATCATTTTATCGAGTGTTAATATTTTCAAATTTTTTGATTTTTTTCAGTTTTCTTTGCACGCAAGAAAAAGTTTTAATTCGTACAACATTTTCTCAACAAAAATTAACAATTTTCTGTGAACATTTTTCACCCAAATAAGTGTACACGGAAAAATTATAACATGATGAAGAGATTAAAATATCACTGGAAAATCAATAAATTTCTTACTTATAATCCTTTAAATTGTAATTTTTATTAAAATAATTGAAATCGTATGGAAATTATAAATTACTTTCGACTATGTTTGTCAAATAGACGTATAAAGTTAAAAAAATTTTATGAAATAAAATTAATTTAAACAATTGCACATGTATTGAATAATAATGATTCGAATTGGATTAACTTATAAACATTTTAAATCACCGACCAACCTAAATTAATTATTTTTTCGAATGTATTTCATAATGGTCTTTAATAGGACATTCTTTACGACTGTCTTAATAATTGTTAATACATTATTTTTTATATTGTTGTATTTAAAGGAAGCTTATTTATACCGGGGCAGCCAATTATGAATTTGCTATACTAATCACTTTCGTATGGTTGAGAGCCAAAAACATAAATATCGTAGCATTTTCTCTATGGGTTGGATCTTGTGTATAGGATGTAAGAAAAAAATTTGAATGAAATTAAATATTTAAAAGAAAATGTATAAATTAAAACATGGCATACTGTTTTGTACTATTTTTGATTTTTACGTTTGTCTATAGAAGAAAAGTCTTATACTATTTTTTTAAAACGTCTAATCGATCGATAATGAACTGTACTGCAACGGTATGTACTCGTATGTATTGAACGAAATGTTCTACTCGCATTATATGGTCATGAACGTATGAAAATATATGTATGACACGCGACCGCAATATTAAGGCCACGGATATACTTCGGCCACACCTGTAGTACTTACACGTTATTATTATTTATTGTTTACGTTAAGGCCCACGAGTGAGACGTGGAAACTATTACGGTAACTCAGTAGTGCTCTGGCAATTCTTTCCTTGGTCATTTATAATCACAAAACATCATCGTGTTCGCATTACAGATCGATTTTTTAAGAAATCTACTAGCCAACATCTCACGCATTCCGATAAAAAAAAAAAAAAATAAAAAAATAATAATAATAAAAATCGCTCAAACATTCGTTCATGCTGTGCAACAAATAGTTTCGCGTAATCAATTTTAATGTGTTTTGATATTTCACTCAAATATATATCGATAAGAGAATTGTATGCGTAGAAGTAGAGTTACCTACATTCGTTTTCTCCGAACATTTCCCTCCGCAATCCGAACGCACTGCGAATCCGACCGGCACCGATTGACCAATATTATAATACAATGCAGGTATTTACGTGAGTCCTGACGCCTCTGTGGCGTGAACATCGCACGCGTCAGTGCGCTCGATAACAGTTTACCGAGCGCATTTCTTGGCGTAGGCCTATCATTACGATTGACTTCGGACACGGCCAAAGGTATGACCGCACAACTGCAGTACGTAATGCACCGTGTAACACCGTTGCGACATATATCCGCGAATTAACGTTTAAAACGCCCCGTTAAATGTTGTATACATTGCAGATAATACTTACTTGAATGTACATGTGGTATGTGTATGTGTGTGTGTGCTTGTGCGTGTGCGTGTGTGTGCGTGCGTGCGAGTGTAATATAAAACCTACATCCTGTGCAAACGCGCGAAAACCGTATAAAATATCGCAGCAGGTGCAGGACGTGTATCGATCGCGCGCGTGAACTTTATAATATATTGTTTTTATTACGTAATGTTTATATTTAAACACATATACGTACGTATACACTTTTTTATTCTAATTGTACGTCGTCGGCCTATTGGCATTATTCTGTTTGTTCCTGCATCTCATTATTAGTACTAATACACACGCCGAGTGCACCACAGAGTACAAATATATACGCGTGCGGGATTGTGAAATTATATGGCACATGAGTTTCGGAACATAATATTGTATTATTTGCATTGGTTTTATTCTCTTTTACTTTTCGTGACGTCATCGCGCGCGCGGTACATGCGTTAAACGTACTGCAGCGACACCGTGTGTTTTTGTCGCATCAGAAACTTACTATTTTTAAGTTGTCAAAATGTCGATTGTTTACACTAAACGCACGTCGTGTATATACATACTTGTATAGTAATATTATGTACGAATTCGTCGCGAGTGAACAAACATCATTGCTGCTCAGTTGCAACGCGTCACGTCGCAAAGCCAACGATTTCTATACTTAAACGAGTAAATATAATATTTTGTTCGTCCGAACAAATCTAATGAAAATGAAAACGCACGCTCGTGCACACACGCACAATTACGCGGACATATATTTTTAACTGAACGCGAGTACGGTGCACACGCGCACACGTAGATTACCGAAATATTTCGGAAAAAATATGTATAAATTTCATCGTCGTCCGCCGTAGAGTGATTTCGTTGCATAGTCCGCGGGCTGTATTCGTTTTGATTCGATTTTGAATGTTTACGTTCGAGGGTTTCTAAATTATCGCCTATTCTGTACGGCGGTTCACGGCAAACCAAGAGCATGGCAAGTTCCGTCGTTCAAAGCGTTAAAATACAAAAAATACGAGCAAATATATTCTGCGTAAGACGCGCGCGTGCAAACGTAAGGAGGAGTCACCGACAGGTCGACCACCGTTGACATTTCCTGCGGACGCTGATCGGTCACAAGATTATAACACGTAACGTAGGTACGCTCGCACCAACTCAACTCTTAAACACTAAAAATAAACGTGCGCTTTCAGCAATTGTATAGATGAATCTGATGCAGTTGGAGAAACACTAACAACATTGAAAGTAATGTAATATGTGAATCGATAGAAATCAATTTTGGAAGAATAAATAATTTATGCATACAAATTCGTATAATCATTGATGTTCATCATTTAATTGCGGATTTTTACTGTCTAAACGGACACGGAAAAATATGTGATGTGTGCAAAAAAGGTCAAAAAAAATATTTTGGACCGCGGAGAGCTTGGTTAGTTTCAAAACGGATCCCGTGGATATTAATTTGTGGTCCCGTACTCTGCAGGTGTAGAATAACAGTTTAAGGTTTACGATTTTTAAGCACCGAATAAAAAAAAGTAAAAGAACAACTAAGTTCGACCGATCGGCATGGAATACATAAGCCCGTGCAATTATCGTATTTTCGTGAACGTAATTGAAATAGATTGAAAAACATGATTGAAATAATTATAATTATGTATAAACATAAGGGCAAAGTTTGTAGTTTATTTCGTTCTTATACGGTGTACTAACGAAACAATTTATTATTAAGTTGGTATTTTTTTTTTTTTTTTTTTTATACGATGTATTATACACGATGACGACTCTGATAATATTACAGCTAATTTGAATCGATTATAGTTATCTCGTCATTTAGAGGTGATACGAACATGACGCACATCACATGCACAGACGCGGCAAACCAGTGAATCAAACAGCTAATTAAAAAGTGCACATAAAACTTGTATTTAAGTGCATTTCCAAAAGATAAAAATCGATGTTATCACGAATTTTTTTTATGTTTCTCTTCAGTGGTTAGAACACCGATAAACACAGATTTGCAGCTTTCGCAATTATAATGAAATCACAGCCCACGAATGATAATAATTATATTCAATATGATGTAAATAGTAACTTAGGCAAATACAAATATTGTTAGATTTTTGTATACGTGTTAACAGTTTTGTTAAGATAACGAATCTAAAATTTTGGAATTTCAAGCTCTAAATTATTTATTTTATTTCCCAAAACACCTTCGACGTCCTCAAAGCTCGTGATTTTCAGTAGACTAAATAAAATTGTACTGTATACCCAACATTAATTTGAACACTCATTGACATATTTCTACGAACCGTTCAAGGTATAAAAATTGTCAATTTAATTTCAAAGAAATTACATACATGTAGCTAACGAGAAATTTCCGCGCTACGTCAACACGCCATCGAGTACCTACGGGTAATACGGATAAATAATGAAACAAAATAAATGTTTTACTCACCTTTCAATGTATCTTTTCATAAATATTAAAATAACGTTATAATACATTTTATTTTAAGTTCATGTGTTTGAATAAATCATGTTGCACGGTAAACGTTATCACCACCTTGGTAATGAGTACGAGGAATTAGAAAAAAAAATTAAAATCTGGCAAACATTTACTTCAAAAGCTTTCCCGGTATAATGCTTCATTGGTAATGCTATACATATCATATCTCCTTAATTAAGGCATATTATTATTATCAACACAATATATCATTGCATTTAAATATAACTCAAAGTTTGTTGAAAACAGTTAGTACTCTACTTTAGGGGGTTATCAAGATGATATTTATATTTTAATTTTATTTTTGTTAAAATTACTTGACTTCTTATTATTTTTTATATTTCTAATATTATATTATAAAATTATAAACACTTAAAATTAAATGTATACTAATTGAATTACGACTATACGAAAAATATTGAAAAACTATTCACCTGAATATATATTAACAAAGTTTTAATGTTTTAGAAATACTTATATCGTTTTTAATACTTAAATAATAAATTTCCAATTAGTCTACTAAAAAGTATTTAAAAACGTATTGCATAGTAGTGATACCAACCGTCTGTTAACATTACTCGTTATAATTCTTATTAATTTTAAATTTAAAACTATATACATTTCCACAACAGCTTTGATTTTCAAATGGAAGAATTTATGTTAAACATTTAATTTCTAATCATAAAAATAAATATAATTTGATGAAGAGTTCTTAAACGGAAAAAACATTGTTTTATTAGTACGAGGAAATCGGTTAAGTAGACTATCAATAAAATGATTTATGTTACAAATTTAATCTAACAGGTATACCTGCGAGCTTTACAAGCGAAATCGATTCAACAATAACTTTAAAGATTAAAGAAAAAAAATGTTAACGTTTAAAATTATTCCGAACAGTACACGCATGGTTCACAATGTAAACGAAAAGGGTTGACGTTTTTCTAAACATATTAAATAACGATTACGAGTTATGTAATTAACTCATCCGAGCAACAGGACCATTTTTTAAACTACAAAAAATATGATTAATTGTTCCGAGTCTAATTTATACGTAT